ACTGTATGAACCCCCCAGGAAGGTCTTGCTCCCTCCTGTTTTATCTCCCAGTCCCGAGTGGATCCCGGGGTGTCTCAGGCCCTGCAGGTCACCCCGACCTGGCCTCCCTCCTGCTTCCTGCCACGAGGCAAGGCCGGGCTGCACGGAGGGAGACAGAGTCGGGACAGACCGGACACGCTCCGGCTCCACTGGCTGCTGCCAGAGCGGGACGTGAATCCCTGAGCCTTCATCCCACGCACAGCACCCGGGGACCCCCGTGAGCGGGGACCCACCTCTGCACTGCCTGCACTGGGCTCTCCCGCACCCCCTGCTCTTCCCTGCCTGCGACCCAGCCCCCCTATCCCAAAACACAACCCCTGTACCTCCCGGCTCCTCTCTGCTGCCTCCCGGCTCCTTTGGTCTGCCACTGCCTGCACCCACCCCCGCTCCCACCCTTGCACCCTCTGCCCACTCCTGCACCCACTCCTGACCCCCCCTCAGTACTCCCCTCCCGCTCCCCGCCTTCCCTACCCCGCACCCTCCGCACCGGCGGGTCCCCACGGCCCCGGGGCAGTGATTAACTCCGGTTATTAACGGGGAATCCCCGGCTCGCCCTGTCCCGTCCCTCCCTGCCGCGGGGCCGGGCTCCGCCGGGCTCTGCCCGCTCCCGGTGCGGGGCCGTGCGGGGCTCACCTGCGCGGGGCTCGGCGGGGACGGGGCTGCCCGGACGGTGCGGGACACCGGGAACTCCGCCGCGGGACACCGGGAACTCCGCCGCGGGACACCGGGAGCCGCCGCGCCGCCCCCGCCGCCTTCTCCGCCTCCCTCCGGGGGGGCCCGAGCCGCCCCCCAGCGCTGCCCGCCCTCCGCCCCCCCCCAACCGGGGGGGGCCTGCGCCGCCGCCCGCCTTCGCATCCCCGCCCTCCTCCTCATCCTCCTCCGCCCCGGGTGCCTCCCCCGGCAGCGCCCTCCTTCCCCTCCCCACCCTCCTTCTCCCCCTTCGGGGGGCTGGATCCCCGCCCGGAGGAGGGGAACCCCGATCCCGGGGGTGGGAGTGAAGCCCGTTCCTTGGCTGTCATCCCTGTGGAGCAGCTCCTCCTCCCCACGGGGACCGGTGGTGGCACCGCTGGCCGGAACGCCTGTCCCTGCGGGAGGAGGGTGTCCCTCGGAGGATGGTTCTCAGGGATGCTCCTCCACAGGCTCCGGGCGGAGCAGCTCCGGGCAGACCCCGAGGCATCGGGGCAGCCAGACCCCGCTGTGACATGGAGCTGCTGTCCCATCCCCCGTGCCCTGGGGTGGCTTGGGGACAGCCTGGCTCAGAACAGGGCGCCTGGGGTCAGAGCCCCGAGACGGGATCCCTGCCACCATCCCTCCCGCTGGCACTGTGCTGCTCCCAAGTCCCCAGCGGCAGAGCTGCTGACTTCCCAGAGCCTCGCCAAGCCCTGCAGGGATTCGGCACCCATCCCAGCTCCCAGCTCTGCGCCGCTGGGACGTGCCAGCCTGGAACGCTGCCTCAGGGCCTGGCTGCCCAGCTCTGCTCCATCATCCCCTGCCCACACGTGCCAGGGCACCCCGATCCCCCACAGGCAGGGAGGAGGCAGGGAACAAGCCCACCTCACGCAAAGTTTGGGTCTGGGGGACTCCAAGCATCCACTGGCACCCCCATCCCTGCATCCCTGCTCCCAGTGATGCCCAGCATGGCACCGGGCCCTGGCTCAGCTGCTTTCCTCCCAAATTGTGATGAATCTATTTAGGCTGCAGCTTTACAAACGCGTGAGGGACGCATGTATCTCCATAAAGGAGCTAATTAACAACTGCTGTTTAGTCAGAGACAGTAAATAAGCTGTCGTGGGCAAACCCAGCAGCTCCACTCCGCCAGTCACTCACCCGCCAGCCCCAGACGTGGTGACAGAGCACTCGACGCTCCTCCGAGATGCCTACTGAGGTAATTAAGGGTAATTAAAGCAAGTGGGAACAAAACACAACGAAACTTTTATAATTCCTGTTTTTTGGATGATTATTCACCTCGAGCTGTTCCTTGTTTGGGGCCACCCAGCAGCAACGAACCCGGTGCAGGAGCACTGGTGGGGTTTGTGTGTCTTGTGGGCGGGGGGTATGGCCCCAAAACTGGCCCCACAGCCCACCCCAAAGCCACGTCTCGCCCCACAGCAGAGCAAGGATGGAGGGCAGCCTTGTCCCTTTTTCTCCAGCCAGACCCCTTACACGACCAGCAGCTTCCAGAACCCTCAAGTCAGCTGTGAATGAATTTAGGGGGGGGTCACACCCATCCCTCCCTCTGCCCATCCCGTGCCTCAGTTTCCCTCATTTCCCAGGCTGCTTCCCTGGGTTGGTTGTCCCCAGTCCAGTGGCACGAAGGCACCTCAAAAGCCCCAAAAAGCACAGGGGTGGCAGCAGCGTGGAAAACTGCTCCATGCAGCTCCCGCTTCCCATGGCTGTTCCAGCGCACGGGATCGGCATCTCCAGAGGGAAAGAGGCTGGATCCCGCCTCCCCAGCACTCTGCGCCGGCATCCCTTGGAGCCGTGCCGAGCTGGGGGATGGAAGGCAGGATCCTGCAGCCCCTGCCCACCAACCCAGCATGGAAAAAGCAGAGGCACGCTGCGCTTCCAAGAAACTGCCGCGCTGGCTGCCAAGAAACACGAGCCGGAGCAGAGCCCGACAATTTTCGGGCTGGAGACAATTTGCCTCCGACCCCGAGCGTCACGCGGCAGCCGCGGCGCTGGTGTTACCGTGGGGCTCCCCCGCTTCCCGGGCTGAGCTCAGCCCCCGAAAGGCCCCCCCAAATCCGGGGGCTGAGCGTTGGGGTGACGCCGGCCGGACCCCGGGTGGCTGCCGGCCCGGACAAGGCAGAGGAGGGAATTCCTGCGGTGAGGATTTCAGCGGTTCAGCATTAATTTCTGCACCAATCCAGCCACAACCCCCCCCCTTCCCCAGTTCCAGTCAGGAAGGAAAGCGCCTGCGGGAATTCTTTCCAGCTTCTTCACAGGGCCGTTCGTTTCTGCGGCGCTAAAACTGCAGTTTTGCCTCTTTTGGAGGGATTTCCTTCCCAAAAAGTGAAGGGTGAAGCGCCGGAGAGCTCCTGTCCCACCCCGCCCCCGCGGCTGCACGGCCCCAGAGCTTCTTCTCCATCATTTCCGCCCCCCAAACTGCACATTTTTGGCACTGGGGGGACACAGCCTGGCTCAGATGGAAGCTGCAGATGGAAAATGGCTCCAGAGCTCTCCATCCTGCTCTGATTCCCCCCAGTATCCCCCATCAGTGCCCAGACCCGCAGGACTGGGGGCTGTCCCCATGTCCCCCGTGTCCCCCGTGTCCCCCGTGCTGGGACACACCACGAGCCCATGCCTCTCTCCCGGGCTCTGTTCCCTCACCACATATGGCGTCTCCATGAGTAATAAAAGCTGCTAATTGCCAACAGATGCCCCAGGAAACCCTGACGCCGCCTCTTGCGGCTGTGTTTGGCTGGGAGGGAGAGGAGGGGAGCTGGAGCAGGCCCTGGATCCCCCAAAGCAGGGGGTGGGGGGATCCCAGAGCGTGGCGGCTCCCAGAAACCAGAGCGAGAGGATGTGGCTGCCATTAGTGGCAAACCAGCGGGAGAACAGCCCCATGAGGGAACAGTGCCCCTGACCCACGGCATCACCCTCACCCCACGCCCTCCACAGGGCTGGGAGCCACAGCCGAGCCCCAAGGCAGCCCCTGTCCGAGGGCCACATCCTGCCCCAGTGTCCCAGCACGGGTGGGACTGGGAGCAGCATCTCCTGGCCCGGTGCACAGGGACACACCATCTGAACTGGGCACTGGCCACCAGCCCAAACTGGGCAGCCTCCTTTAGCTGTGCCAAACCTGTCCTCTTCGAAGCCCTCGGGAAGCTCAGGTGGCCCTTCCCAGACAGAAGCAACAGCCAAGACCAGGACCTGCTTCCCAATGTCACCGCAGCCACGCACCCCTCCCTGGCACCTTATGGCACACCACGGCAGCAGGGCCTCAGTGCCACGGCCCAGCCGAGCTGCCCGGGCACCTGATCCACACCATGGATCGCTCAGCCCAAATCTCTAGTCCCTGATGTGCTGAGAGCCACAGGGCAGGGATGTCCTCTCCTCCAGCACTGTTATCCCAACACAGCTCCTGGTCTGGAGCCTGGCATTCCTGGCCACGGCTGCCACTCCTGCTGCCCCAGCACCCATCCCTGGAGACTCCTGCTCCGGATGCCAGGATGCTCCAGCAGTGCCAGGCAGCCCACCTGACGCGCCTCTGCATGGCCATTGCCTCCGAAGTTCCTAATTTGCTCACAGATTAATTACCGTGTAATTAAGTGCTCCCGGCTCCTGCGATAAGACGCTCATTTGCACGGCAGTGCCTGGGCACGGGATCAGCCCTGGCCGGTGGGATCCTGCAGGCAGGGAGGGGGCCAGGGGGGTGCAGGCAGGCCGGGGGACCCCACGGGGCGACAGCCACCCCCTCCCCGGCCGGACCCCGACACGAAGCACGAGGCGACGGCCGCGGCCCCACGGCACCACAGAGAGTGAACTTTTATTTCCAACAACGACAGCACCTGCCCCGTGGGGTGGGGACGGTGGGGAGGGCTGGGAGGGGACGGCCCCGGGGCCCCGGGGAAACGGGGGGTCCCGGGGTGGGGTGGGGGGCGGCCGCTCGCGTGCACACGGTGCACGGCGTGAAGAAACATCCCGGTAGAAAAGAACGAAGGTCTGAAGGGCCTCGACGGCCGGTCCTGCCCCGGGGGGGTGCAGGCGTGATCGTGGGTGAGCATGGGGGGGTGCGCGGGTCCCCTCCGCACCCGCGTCCGGGGGGTGGCGGGAGGAGGAACCGCGCGAGGACGGGCGGGAGGCGGCTGCGCCGGGGGGAGCGCGGGCTCTGCCCGGGGGGGACACGGCTCCGGCCAGGCAGGGACCCCCCCGGCCGCCGAGGAGGACGGAGCAAACCCAGCGTTCTTGGCTCGTTGCAGCCCCACGCGGGCCGGGGGCGGCGGCGATGGGCACGGGGCTCACACCTCCGTCTGGAAGTCGCCGTCGGCCGCATCCAGGCCGGCGCAGGGGCTCTCCCAGTCTGCCCGGCACAGCTCCAGCCGGTCCCGCTGGGCACTGGGCAGGGCGCCCAGTGTCATCGCCTTGAACGTGCTCCATGGCTTGGGCGGCGCGGCCGGGGCCTGCGGCCGCTGCTCCTCGGGGCTGGTCACGTCCTGCGGGGCCAGGGGGAGCTGTGGGAAGTGGCTGGGGATGTGCACAGCCACCCGCTCCACCCTCTGGCCCTGTCCAGGATGGGGTGGGGTAACCCCCCAGAGGGGGCCCAGGCACTTACGTTGGCCGTGCTCTTCTCCCCGCCGCCCGACGAGACGCTCCACCGCTTTTCTCGCTGCGGAAAATCCCACAGAACTCAGCTCCTGCATCATTCCTGGAGGGCCTGTCCCCCCCCACCCTCCCTGGGATGCCCCAGCCCATGCAAGAGGAGAAGGTGAAGGGTTGCAGAGGGGCAGACCAGGGCAGGACGGGACGCCCAGGACCTCACCTTGGAGGAGCCGGCAGACGGAGCCCGGTACCTGTCCAGCGTGTGGAACTTCTGGTTGAGCTCGTGGTAGAGCTCAGAGTGGCGCTTCCGTGTGTGCATCACCTTCTGCGGGGGGAGAGCAGAGCCTGCGGCCACCGGCACGGCCCTGCAGCCCTTGGCACAGCCCCTATCCCTGTCCCTCTCCTGACACCCCACCCTGCCTTCCCAGGGTGTCCTGGACGAGCAGGAGCCCACTCCACGCTCAGCACTGGTGTTTTAGTCGAGAGCCAACGCTAATTACTGCCTGGTATAAATCCCCTCTGAGCCTGGGTGCTCCCAGTGGGGCAAAGGGAGGGGGACAAGGTGGTTCAGTCCCCTCTGATGGCACCTGACCCTGTGACCCCTGTTGCCATGGTGGGACTTACCTCAAAGTCCAGGTCAGAGTACCGCAACCTCTTCCTCTGGCAGGGGACAGGCAGGAGCAGGGAGAGGAGACGGAGAAGAAAAGGGAAAGGTCTTTGCAGGTCCAGGATGAGGGGGAGCAAGGTGGGGGGGCTCATGCCAGCCCCAAGCCATGACCGGCTTGGGGACACGACGCTCCCGGCCAAGGGGGACACGGAGCTCACCCACCGCACGACCCCGAGCCGAGGGTGGGATTCCGAGGGTGGGCACAGGGGCAACTCATGCACATGCACACGTGCTCCTGCACACGTGTCCCTCCCCACACATGTGCCCACGGGCCATGCCAGCCCCCCACTCACCTCCAGGGACCCCACTTTCATGGCAGAGCCGGGGACGGTGCGGGGCATGGTGCGGCTGCGCTCCGACAGCTCCGAGGCCAGGATCTGCCGCACGGTGGGATGCTGCTTGAACTGGAGGCCGTAGGGAGCCTTCACCGTCCCGTAGGGCTGGTTCAAGTTCACGTTGACGTGGTCCACCGCCACGAAGCCGGGGTAGGTGTCACCTTCGGCCGCCGGGCGCCCTGTCCCGCCGGGCACCCCCTCGTCGGCGCCGGGACCGAGGGTCCCCTCATCCCGTGGGAAGGGCTTGAGGCTGCCGGTGCGGCGGGGCAGCATCATGTAGTCGCTCTCCCGGGGGGGCTCGGGGGCCCGGATCCAGCCGTATTCCAGGGGCCGCAGGCTGCTCTCCGTGCACAGGTAGACGGGACCCGGCGCGTCCAGGCTGAGCTGCTGTGCCGGCGGGTCGCCGAGCTCGCCCAAGCCCGCCACCACGTTGGGCGTCATCTTGGGGACCTGGACCAGGATGCTGGTGGGAGGGATGTTCCCTGGCAGGCTGGAGAAGCCCAGGCCACCCTCCGACGTGGTGTTGAGCTTGGGGTCTTCGTCCCCGTCCAGGGAGATGCGGGACAACGTGCCCGTGATGGTGGCAGGGTTGCAGGTGTTCACCTCCTTGAACAGCACTGTGGGCAGGGAGGGGGTCAGCATCAGCTCTGGGGGTCCCAGGGGAGGGTGAGGAGGCAGGAGTGACCCCCTGGCACACGCTGCCTGTCCCTCCCAGCTGTGGCACGGTGACATTCCTGTCCCCAGTGCAGGGTGCAGGGGAGACCTCACCTGTCTGACACGCCAGGTCAACGTCCTTTTCAAAATCTGTCTATAAAAATACAGAAAGAGGGGAAAGAGCGAGAGAGAGAGGAGAGAAAGAGAGGGAGAAAGAAGGGGAAATGAAGCACCTTGGCCAGCACAGGGAGCAGCGGGGCCTCAAGGGGTCCCTGCCCCAGCGGGGTGACGGCCCTGCCGGTGCCAGCACAGCCGCACTCACCAGGATCTGCACCTGCCCGTTTTTGCAGGAGTCAGGTGAGTTTTCATTCTCCTCGCTCCTGCACACCCCCATCTGACACTTCACCACGTCCTGGACCTGCAGGGACAGAGCCGGTCACGGCCCCGCGGCCAGGGCTGTCCCCCGGCACCCCTCCGGGGCCGCCCCACCTCTCGGCGCAGGAACCCGTGCACGGTGATGATGACGAAGCCCTGGACGGAGTTGAAGACGGCGAAGAGGACCTGGAAGAGGATGGAGCGCCGGTCGGTCATGGCGAGCACGGCCGACATCCAGGTCAGCGCCAGCAGAGGCAGGACCACGCAGGAGCTCCACAGCGATGCCCTGGGGCAGGGAGAGAGGGGCCGGGGTGAGCCCGCCGGGCTGGGCTGCCCCCTGACAGCCCCCACCAAGCGTTGCCCCCCCTGCCCCGCAGCAGCCCCCTGAGCTTTCCCCCGCGCCCCACAAGCATGGCCGGGGCTGGCTGTGCCACCCAGCTGTCCCCTCTTCCTCAGTGTCCCTGAGCCAGCACTGGCTGGGTGCTCAGGGCACCGAGGGCTGAGGGGACCTGTGGGCTCCAGCCCCCCAGGCTGAGCCACTGGCATCACCACATGTGTCCCTGTCCCTACACAGGCAGTGCAGCCACAGCGAGGGGGCTGGGGATGAGTGGGGCCACCATCACTGTCCCACAGCCACCAGAAGAGCAGAAAGGGGATTTCTTTCTTATTCTGCAGGGCTGCCTCTAGTGCCACTAAACCCCCGGGAATGGGGACCAGGGTGGCAGCGGGCACATCCCAGCCAGCACCCCTGGGGGGGCTCATGTGCCAGGATGAGGGGTCCTGGGGACACTCCTGAGCCCGTGCCCCTCACGCCCTCCCCGCTCCCAAGGGAACAGGACCCCCCCCGTGCCCGGCGATGACGTGACCTGCGGAAGCCATGCCATGCAGACGTGATGGGACACGCGCGCGCCCCGTGCCCGCGCCGCCCCGAGCGCACAGCCTGGCCCCGAAACCCACCCCGACCCACCGCCCACCCCCGTGGGGTGCCCAGGCTGCGCTCGGGGCGGGGGGGGACACACGGCGGGCGCGTGGCGGGCACTAACATGGCACTGCTGGCGGTGGCGGAGGTCATGGCCGCGCTGGACACCACGCCGCACTTGGTGCATTTCAGCAGCAGGCTCCCGCACGGGGGGGGCTCCGAGCTGTGCCCACCACACACACCCCACCCCCGGCGCCCCCGCGGCCAGGACCGGGCCACGCGGGGGGGATGCAGGCGCGGGGAAGGCGGGGAGGGAGGTGGGGAGAGCAAGGCAGGATGGCGGGGATGGGGTCGGGGAGGGGTGGACGGATGGACGGATGGATGGATGGACGGACACAGGCAAAAAGCGAATGGGAGAAGGAAAAGAGAAAGAGAGAGAGAGAGAGAGGGAGAGAGAGAGAGAGAGAGCGCCGGGTTAGTCGAGGGCGGCAGCAGTTGTTAATGATGAGGGGGTGGCCAAGCGGCAGGGGTGGGGCGGGCAGGGAGGGGGGTCTGCAGGGTGCGGACCCCCTTCCCCAAAGGAAAGCGTGGGGGTGGCTGCCCCCCAGCTGCCCCTCCAGCTGCCCCCAACAACGGGCTGCGGGTGCCCCGGGCTTGGCCCCCACCACCCACTGATGTGATGAAGTCTGCCCCGTCCTCAGCCCGCTGCCGGAGGACCCCCATGCCATGCCCCCGGCGCGGCAGGGCAGGGTGCAGGGTGAGGGGGCACAGGCCCCAGGGACGCCCCCGTGGGGCACAGGGCACTTACCCAGCTCGCTGCTTTTTGGACTTATCTGAAATGCCGTCGCGGGACATGAGCTTGTTGAACACGATGATGCCAACCAGCATGTTCACCTTGGGCGAGAGCGGCGCGGGGTCAGGGCGGGCACGGAGCCCTCCACGAGCAGCCACACGCCCACCCGGGTGGGTTTTTTGGGGGGCTCCAAGAGGCTCGGGGGGCAGCTCACCAGCACGATGACGGCAGCGGGTCCCACGAAGGCGTAGAGCAAACCGCCCTCCAGCGAGAGCCAGCAGCTGCAGGGGACCGTGGCGTGTCAGGGGACACCCCTGTGCCCACCCCCTGCTCCCAGCATTGTGCCCAGCCCCGTGTCCCCCCGTCCCCACGTACTAGGTCGCCGTCCCGTAGCCTTTGGTCCGTGTGAAGCCGACGGAGACCGCGACCACGAGGGCTGGCAACCCTGGAAAGGGGACACGAGGCTGGAGCTGCAGGGGGTGACACTGCTGTCCCCCCACAGCATCACCCCTGTGCCAGCCCCCCGGGGATGGGGACAGCGATGGGGCCCTTCTGGCACCCCGTGGCCTGAGGGTGCCTCGCCAGGACTCCTGGGTCTGCTTTCCTCCCCTGTGCCTCAGCTTCGCCCAGATCACCCCGGGGGGGTACCAGGGTGGTGCCTCCCACCACCCCATCCCAGGCTCTTACCCCATCCCAAGCACAGGAAGCGCTTCCTGACCAGGCGTGTCCGGATCCGGCCGATCACCGCCAGGTAGGACTGCCAGGCCTCCGTCAGCACCCAGCAGAAGGACGAGAGGAAGAAGAAGTGGAGGAAGGCGGCTGTCATGGTGCACACGCCCTGTGGGGACACGGGGACATCAGGGGGACACGGCCACGTGCCCGGCACCGCGGCGGTTAAACCCCCACGCCCGGCGAGGGTTGTGTCAAAGCCACCAGCGCAGAGGATTTAATCCCAGGATCGAGTTAATCCAAATCCAATCTGCTGCTGGGAGCCAGCAGGGAGGAGGTGACCGGCCTCGGACCCCACGGCAGCCCCCGCGCCCACCTGGGGACCCCGGGAGGGTGGCAGGGGGGTGGCACCCACCTTGCTGAGCATCTGGGACTGGCCCACGAGGATGAGGATGTTGGAAGCCAGGATGGAGACGCAGAAGTTGAGCAGGATGATGGAACGCTCAGACTTGATGAACCTGTGGCAGGACCAGCGTGGGGCCGGGGTGCCAGCCTGTCCCCTGTCCCTGTCCCTTGTCCCCCCAAGCTGCCAATGGGTGGGCAGGAGCTGTCCTGGGGCAGGGACAGTGCCAGGCAGCCCGGGCACCTTCTCCCACCTGGGTTATTCCCTTCCCACCACACTGCATTCAATCTCACCGATGCCGAGCCTTTGCTGGCGCCGTGCCCCCCCTGTGCTGCCCCCTCCCCACATGGCCTCGAGCCCCAGGTGCCCCCCAGGTCCCCAGGTGCCCCCGGGTCACCTCCAGAAGGCAGCGTAGATCACCAGCAGGGTCAGCAGGGCCATGCAGGACACGGCACAGCCGATCATCAGTGGCACCGACGGGGTGCCCGAGGGGTCCATGGCCTGGGGGGGGACCAGTGGGGGGGAGTGGCTGAGCCCAGCCCACCCCCCTTCAGCTGCTCCCTACCCCCAGCTGTGCCCTCCACCCCCCCAGTGGGGACCCCTGGATGCCAGAGGGGGTCGGTGACAGCGGTGGCACAGCCAAGGCGCCTTCCCGGGGACCCGTGCCCATCTCCATGCCAACGGGGGACGCGGGTGGAATAGCAATGGGGTGGGGGGATGCCAGGGGCTGGGGCTGCCCCTCCCCTGCTGGCTCACAGCAGTGCCCCATATTGAGCTCTATCAAGCACGGCAGCCCCCTGCCCCCACAGACCCACCCTCGGGGTGCTGGAAGGTGCTGGGGGCTGCAGGGACCCTTCCCCTGGGCTGGTGGGAGACACCCCCCTACCCTCCAGCGCCCACCCCATCCTAGCAGGGTGCAGGAAATGCTCCCTGCCCATCCCCACCCTCCTTCAGGATCCCCACCTCAGCCGGGCCCCCCCAGCCCGGGGATCACCCCCCATCCCCATCCCGTGTCCCCGGCAGGCTCGTCCCTGTCCCCAGCCTGTCCCTACCAGGTCTCTGGGCAGCTGGGCGAGGACGGCGAAGGTGGCGAGCTGGCGGCACTGGCATTTGGTGTGTGCCGGGAGGGTCTCCAGGGTTTGGCAGCTCTCCGTGTCCCAGTTTCCCAAGCCAGCATCCCTGATTAATGGGGGAGAGCGAGGGAGAGCAATTTGAACTAATCAAACACACGCAGCCCCTCGTGTTAAACTCTCCCAAGTTAACCCCTTGTTGGCCCCTTCCTGGGGGGGAGGCAGGTGTGGGGGCACTGCCAGGGGATCCCCCCAGACCCCTGGAGGAAGGTGAAGCCATCCCTGCCCCGCTGCCCCCACCTGCCCTGGGCTGATCCTCCTGGGAGTGGTGCAACACAAAGGCTTGGGTTTTAATCATCCCACACAGGTCTGGGGGGGGGACACAAACCATGGAGTGGGGGCCAGGCCTGGGAGGAGGGGTGGTGGGGATGGAGGGGGTAGAGAGGGGCAGGCAGGGATAGCCCCAGGAGCTCCCTGGCACCCATGTCCCCTCCCAGGTGGGTGATGCTTCTCTCCCTCCATGGGGACCCCTCAGTCTATGAGGACCCCTCCCATCATGGGGATCCCTCCACCGTGGTGACCCCTCTGGTTATAGGGACCCTCCCTCCACGGGGACCCTCCCACTGTGGGGACACTCTGGCCACAAGGACCCCTCCTGCCACGGTGATCCTTCCTGCTGTGGGGACCCCTCCTGCCACAGGGACCCCTCATGAGGGAGTAGGGAGGGGGTGCCCCACGGTGACACTGCCCACTGCACAGGGAGAGCAGCCACAGCTCCCAGCAGGGCAGGAAAACCAGGAATTGGGTCTGTGGGACAGCTGGGGACTATCCCCGGGGCCAGGCTGAGACCTGCCACATCCATCACAACCAACACCTCCCCACCAGCACGGGGGTACTGGAACCAGTGACCCCGAAACGCAGAGCACCCGTGGGTACCTGGGCAGGGGGGTTGGCACTGCCACCCCCACACCCCCCGCAGCACTGACCCCTCCCCCACCATGCCCTACTTTCCCTCGCTCCTGCCAGCGCTAACAAATCACATCTGGCAGGCTGGCACGGGCATTCCTGGGCTCCGGGGCCACATCGATCCCGTGGGAGCTCAATTCACCCGTGGCAGTGGTGCTTGGATGTGGGAAGGGACCTCTCCTGCTCCCCATCCCTATTCCCCAGCCCTGCTCCCACTCCCTGCTCCCATCCCTGCTCCCCATCCCTATTCCCCAGCCCTGCTCCCTCTCCCTGCTTCCCTATCCTTGCTCCCATCCCTGCTCCCCACCCCTCCCACCAGGCCCCTGGCCCAGCCCCACCACCCAGCCAGGGTGTCCCTGTCCCCCTGTCCCTCACTCACGTCCTCGAGTAGTCCCAGGTGACGCACTGTGGGTGGGACGTTCCCTGCGGACACAGGGACAGGTCAGCGCCTCACCCCCAGCTCTGCTCCCAGCCCACGAGGGGACGTGGCCCTTGGGGACCTGCCCAGGTGCCCCAGCACTGGCACATGCCCACCGTGGGCACGGAGACCAGTGTTGTGGCCGTGAGCTGGGAGCTGGTGGCCCCTGCCCGGCTCCCAGTGCCTGGCGGGACCCACGAGGGACCGAGAGGTGACACGGTGATGGGACAGGAGGGTGACGCTCACACTGATGTCGTGGGAGGGGAAAGGGACACTCACGCTGGTGACGAAGGACACTCATGCTGGTGACGCAGGAGGGCTGATGATGAGGAAGGGTAACACTCACATCGCTGATGGTGTGGGAGGGGGACACTCATATGGATGATGTGGAGGGGACGCTCACATGGATGAGGAGGGACAGGGACACTCAGGTTGATGTGGAAACAGGGACCCTTTTGTTGACGACACGGGAGGGGGACACTCACATTGATGATGTGGGAGAGCTCCACCAGCACGAGGGGCTCCGTGGGCCTGGTCGGCGGGCGCACCGTCACCGTCAGCACCTTGGAGGTGACGGCCAGGGGGGCCCTGCGGGGAGGGGGGACACGGGCTGTGACAGCTGGGGGGACAGCGGGGGACACAGCGGGCAGCCCCACTCACCTGGGGGGGGGCAGGATGAGCCCCAGCGTGCGGTACAGCACCGCCCCGATGACAAAGTGGGACGACTCGTCCGCTTCTGCAGAGAGAGGCACACGCGTGTGCTCAGCACCACATGCGTGTGCTCAGCACCACACGCGTGTGCTCAGCACCACACATGTGAGAGAACACGCGTGTGAAGGAACACGCGGCCCCCCAGCACACACGTGGCACATACGGACACGCCACCAGCACGCTGACACACGTGGGCTCCCAGATGTGCTCATCCTTCCAGATGTGCTCTCACTCATGCACAGCCCCAGACATGCCAGCACACACGTGTTCACCTGCACACACGCGCACGCCACGCCTGGGTATGCAGCCCACACCTGTGTCTGAATGTGTGCTGTGCCACACATGCATAACACACGTGCACAGCACCAGATGTGCACTCCCATGTACATGTTCACACATGTACACACATGCAGGCTCCCACATGCGCACGTTCACACGTGTGTGCATTCCCAGATGGGCACTCCCACGTGCAGGCTCACACGTGTACACACACATGCACACTCCCAGATGTGCACGTTCACACACATGTGCAGGCTCACACATTCACACACGTGCCCTGTCCCAGGTGTGCACGCTCACACACACGTGCACAGCACCAGACGTGCACTCCCACATGTGTGTTCACACCTGTGCCCGCTCCCACCCAGCCCCAGGCTCAGCCCCCTGCACACACGTTAACACACATGCGCACACGCGTGCCCTCTCACCGGCAGAGGCGAGGCTCAGCACCTCCCTGGGGATGAAGAGCTTGTCCTCGGAGCTGCGGGCCCAATCCTTCATGCCCCGCCGCCCCTTCATGGGGAAGTTGATGTCGCTGGACACGGCAGAGACGGGCTCCCGCTGGATGCTGGTCACTGCCGGGGCACAGCGGGGTCACCACGGGCTCCCCGCAGCCCCCGGGACCCCGCGCCCACCCCGCCGCTCACCCAGGTTGTCCGTGACAATGAGGGAGCTCTGGAAAGCCTTCAGCGCGTCCCCGACCAGGTGGATGAAGTCCTCCACCACCTTCATCAGGTGCACAGAGCCAGGAGAGACCTGCGGGAGGTGGAACAGCTCCAGAGCCGCCGGGGTGGTGGGGACATCCCGGCAGTGGGGACATCCCGGCAGTAGGGACATCCCGGCAGTGGGGACATCCCGGCTGTGCCCACCCCCCCCCCGTGCCACTCACCTGCTGGGCATCCTCCCACTTGTCCCGGTTCTCGGCGTCCACCATGTAGCTCACCACCTGGAAGAAGCGCTGCGGGGACGGGGCTCAGCGGGGCTGGGCTGCGGGGACCGAGCGCCGCCGCCTCCCCGAGGCGTCCCCTCGCTGTCCCCCCGCCCGCTACCTGCACGTCCTCGGAGGACGGGGTGTAGGTGGCCCTCTTGAAGGTGTCGGTGACGTTGCGCAGGATCTCCACGGAGAAGAGCAGGTCCCCGCTGTAGTAGGTCTTGCGGGCCATGAGCTCCAGGAGGCTCCGCACCACCTGCGACATCCCCTCCCCTGCCAGCACCCGCTGCCCCTTGGCCAGGTGCTCCCGCAGCTTGGGCGGGGTGGGGACACCCGTGTCACTCACCCCAGCAGCGCTCTGTGTCCCCAGGCCCCTCCTCATGCCCAAAGCCCAGGCAGTGGGGACACTGATAATTGCACTGACTGGGGCAGCAGCGGGACACGGGGGTCTGGGGAGTTCCACAGCAGTCTGGGGCCATTATAGGGGCCTGGGGGTGTCCTTCCCGTCCCAAAAGCCATTTCCCAAGGACATGAGAGCGCAACTTGGATGGCGGTCCCTGTTCCAGCTCTAGGGTTGGAGCCCTATTCCAAGCCCACGGGGGTCTGGGAGTGTTCACAGGGGTGTGAGGGATCCACAGGGGTCTGGGGGCATCCTTCTCATCCAAAGAGCCATTTTCTAAGGACATGGGAACACAGCTCAGACCAGGGTGTCCCCCCCAGCTCCAGGATAGGGTTCCTATTCCCAACCCATGGTGGTCTGGGGGATTCCACGGGGGTCTGGGGGGCCTTTCCCCTCCCGAAAGCCATTTCCCAAGGACACAGGAGAGCGACCTGCCCCAGCCCCTGCCTCAGTTTGCCCACACAGTGCCCAGCTGTTGAAAGGAGGTAGCTGCTGGGATGCCAGGGATGGGGCAGAGCCCCGGGAACAGAGAGGGGAGGGCAGAGGGGTCCGTGCCAGAGCGGGCACCTACTGAGAGATGCAAGTATCGGTACTCGTGGGAGATGCAGCGGGCGAAGCTGGGCACACCCCAGTAGGCCACCCCGTGGGGGCTCAGCAGGCACCGGCGGCTGGCAGTCCCTGCACAGGAGATTTGGGGTTGGGGCTGGCATGGGAACCACCTTCCTGGCACCCCCTGTCCTGCTCCAGGGCCGGGGGGGGTTGGGAGTGCTCAACCCTAATGCCACCTACCACTTCTGGGGTTTGGGGGTGCTCAAACCCGATGCCACCTCCCACACCCTGCCCTTCTCCAGGCTGGGGGGGTTTGGGGATGCTGGACCCCAAACTACCTGCTGGCCCCTGCTCTGCTCCAGGTGGCTCGACCCCAATGCCACCCACCACCCCCCTCCCTGCACCAGCGTGGGAGTGTCCGGGGGCACACACCCCCCTCACCTGTGGCATCGGGGGGGCATTTGTTGTAGATGATCTCCCCGGCAGCCGTTTTCTTCCAGGTCATCAGCATGACGTACTCGTCCTTGCACATCTCGTGGTAGGCTGGGAATTGAAAGGGGGGGGGGGTCAGGAGCAGCCCAGACATGGGGGTGATGGGCACCGGGGTGTGGGGTACCCCATACCTGGGCACTTCTTCTCGTTGCAGGGCTTCACCTCCTCGCCGGTGCCCTCGCAGGGGTAGCCCTGCACGCCCGTGCCCTCGCACATGCGGAAGCGGCGCTGCCAGCCGGTGTCACAGGTCTTGGAGCAGAGGCTCCAGTGGTTCCAGGGACCCCACTTGCTGTCTGCTGTGGGGATGGGGACACTGTGGGACACCCGGCTCTGCACGGCGAGTGGCACCCGCGGGGACGGGGACAGGGCACCTCCGACGCTGCCGCACGCGCCATGGATCGAAACCCCACAGGGTATGAAATCCATGGATCAGCCATTTAAGTCTCTTTCAGACAAGACTGGCATCCTGGTGCAGATGCCCACCGTTCCCTGCCGGCATCCACGGGCACCCGTGGCGTGCCCACCTCCCTTCGCGCCTGCCACCGGTGCCACCCCCCCCTCCCACGAGACAAGGAGGGGCTCAAAGGACTGGACGAGGACCCTGTGGTCCATCCTTCGGCCTGCCTGCCCCCCTGCCCCGCCCCTAGAGCCGTCCCCGGCCCCACCAGCCGCCCCGTGTGCACACGCCAGAGCTCACACGTGCTTGTCCGCCCAAAGCACGGCGGGACCCGCGGCCACCCGGCACCGACGGGTCCCCCGGTGTGACCAGGGGGCAAACCCTCAGCCGAGGTGTGCCCGGTGGGAGCGACCAGCACAACAGGGGGGGCGGCTGCTGCTCCCTGGCATCGCCCCTTGGCTCCTGCTCCCCCGCAGCGGAGGGGGCTGGCGGCACCCTCGTGTCACCGGCGGTGACACCGCAGGGCGGGACGGCCGGGCCGCGCGCTGGGTGCCGAACGCGCCGTGCCCCGGACGCGCCGTGCCGGCGTGGCCATCCCCCCGCTCCCCCCTCAGCGCGCGGGGCCTTACTGGGACAGGTGGGGTTGGAGCACTCCCGGGCGTCGGCGTGGGCCCCCCGGCACTCGGCCCAGCCGTGGGCCGAGACGCTGCACTTGCGCGTGCGCTGCTGGGTGCCGTTGGCGCAGGTGACGGAGCAGCGGCTCCAGGCGCCCCATTCCAGCCACTGCCCTTCCACTGCGGGGACAAGGAGGGCGGCGGCGTCAGCTCCCACTGGCCGGCGGCCACCGGGATGCACACCGGGCTCTCCGTGCAACGGGTCCAACCTACGGATGTGCCGGCTCGCCCCAAGCTGAGCTCAGCCGGCGCTGAATCCTGCCCCACACTGGGGGACTGTCACTGGGGCTGAACCCCCACGCTGGCTTCACCACCACGGCCACGCTCACACCGGGGAGCCTGGCACTGCTCCCACCTAACACAGCACCCCTGGCATCGCTCCTGCCAGACCCAGCAGCCCCAGCGTCACTCCTGCCAAACCCAGCATTCCTGGCATTGCTCTCCACCAAACCCAGTATCCCTGGCATTGTTCCTTGCCAAGCCCGTGAACACCAGCAGTATCTCCATGGGGCTGCCATGGCTAAAGCCACGAGCCATGTGTGGCATGTCCCCGATGGAGCTGTTGCAGAGGAGATGCCCCTTGCACTCCCCCTCAGCTCCCGCGCTCCTTCCTGCTCCGAACTACCTGCTGGCCTCCCTGCACCACACGTGGGCTCCCAGATGTGCTCATCCTTCCAGATGTGCTCTCACTCATGCACAGCCCCAGACATGCCAGCACACACGTGTTCACCTGCACACACGCGCACGCCACGCCTGGGTATGCAGCCCACACCTGTGTCTGAATGTGTGCTGTGCCACACATGCATAACACACGTGCACAGCACCAGATGTGCACTCCCATGTACATGTTCACACATGTACACACATGCAGGCTCCCACATGCGCACGTTCACACGTGTGTGCATTCCCAGATGGGCACTCCCACGTGCAGGCTCACACGTGTACACACACATGCACACTCCCAGATGTGCACGTTCACACACATGTGCAGGCTCACACATTCACACACGTGCCCTGTCCCAGGTGTGCACGCTCACACACACGTGCACAGCACCAGACGTGCACTCCCACATGTGTGTTCACACCTGTGCCCGCTCCCACCCAGCCCCAGGCTCAGCCCCCTGCACACACGTTAACACACATGCGCACACGCGTGCCCTCTCACCGGCAGAGGCGAGGCTCAGCACCTCCCTGGGGATGAAGAGCTTGTCCTCGGAGCTGCGGGCCCAATCCTTCATGCCCCGCCGCCCCTTCATGGGGAAGTTGATGTCGCTGGACACGGCAGAGACGGGCTCCCGCTGGATGCTGGTCACTGCCGGGGCACAGCGGGGTCACCACGGGCTCCCCGCAGCCCCCGGGACCCCGCGCCCACCCCGCCGCTCACCCAGGTTGTCCGTGACAATGAGGGAGCTCTGGAAAGCCTTCAGCGCGTCCCCGACCAGGTGGATGAAGTCCTCCACCACCTTCATCAGGTGCACGGAGCCAGGAGAGACCTGCGGGAGGTGGAACAGCTCCAGAGCCGCCGGGGTGGTGGGGACATCCCGGCAGTGGGGACATCCCGGCAGTNTTTCCCAGTGCCCCAAAAATGTCCCTGTGCCACCACGGTGCCAGCGCTGTGCCACCCACAGCAGATAGGTGGGGAAGGAGCCTGCTCCTCCACGACCCCCAGGCTGGACCCTTGTCCATGCCAGGGGCTTGAGACCCTGGCATGGCTGACGGTGCCGTCTCTCCCCTTGGATTTCCAGCAGGGACAGGAGGGTGCATCCCCTGCCACAGCATCCCTGAGCCCCTGGGCTGTCCCAGCTCCCCACGGCGGTGCCACCCATCCCTCGCAGCGCCGCAGCCCCGTGCCGGGAGCGCGGCCCTGGCGCTCGGCCGGTGCCGTGTCCTGGCATTCCCGGTGGGAAAAAGGAGTGTGGGGAGAGGGAGGGAGGTACTGACCCGGGCAGATCGCGATATAGCAGGGCTTGGCCTGCAGCTCGGGGCCCTCGCAGGCCTTCCCTCCGCGCCGCGAGGCCACGCACGGCCGCGTCCTGGTCCTGGCCCCTCGCCCGCAGGTCACCGAGCACAGGCTCCACGGGGACCACTCCTGCCACGCACTGGGAACTGCAACACAGCACAGCACCACCTCTGCCGGGCTCCAGCCTCCCCCTCTGCCTCCTGCCAAGAGGGGTCCTGGCCATGGCAGACCCCTCGTGCCCCGTGGTGCAGTCGGGCATGGTCCCTGGCACCGCCTGTCCTGTCATCACCTCAAGTCCCTGAGCTGGCAGCGGTGCCGCTGCCACTCCCTGCCCTGCTCCAGCCTCCCTTCCGGGGTCCTGGCACCGGCGGCACACGTCCCCCCTGCCCACGCACAGCCCGGCTCACCCCAAACCACGTTCAACACACCGAGCACGACCTGCCCCTCGCACCTACGGGAGCTGAGCACACCCGGGAAAGGAGCAGGGACCAGTGTGGCACAGGACCATCCTAAAGGATGCTCTTCCATGACTTCTGATGCCGGGACAGGGCTGCACTCCCTGGGATGGAGGAGAACTGGGCACTGGGTGTGCTGGGGATGCAGATCCCTTGAAACATCCCAGGTTTGGTCAGGGCAGTCTGGCTGCCGCTGCGGCGCCCTGAGGTCCCTCAGGTTCCCAAGATCCCACACGAGACGCACAGACACCACCACGGACCAACGTGAGACCCTCAGCGTCCTGCCTGTGACCTGCCTCGATGCACGGAGCAGCTCAGCCCCCTCCTGCCCCACGCAAATGGGGACCCCCCAGCAGACCAGGTCAGACCTCGAGTCCCCCAGGCGCAGGCTCCAGCCTCTCCTTTCTCCCCAGCACAAAACCTCAGGGACATCCAGGGGAAAGCCCTGAGTTAGCCAGGAGGGAGGGCGGAGAGGGGCCACCAGCCAACCTGCTCCAAAGGCAAATCCACGGCACCAGTGACAAGGCATAAGGGTGCAGAGCACCCATTCCAGACGCCTCCCAAGAGCAGCCAGGAAGGTCAGAGGATGGAGGGACGCCAACAGAGCTCCGAGCAGACCAGCACAGGGTGGGCACCGTGACCGCGTCGAACCACCCTCCTCATCCACCCCACACCTCCGAGAGCCCCGGAGACGCTCCAGCAACACAACATTCCCTCTGGCCACCCCGAGGCAACGGCGGAGCCCCCCCCCCCAGTGCCCGCCGTGCCCCCCGTACCTGGGCAGGTGGCGGTGTTGTTGCAGGCGCGCGTCTCCCGGAGCAGCCCGGAGCACAGCGTCCCGTACGGGGAGGACACGCAGGAGCGCGTCCGCACCTGGGAGCCCTGCCCGCACGTCAGAGAGCACACGCTCCACTGAGACCACTCCTCCGCCGCCGGGTCCCCTGCGGGAGGGAGACAGGGAGACTGAGAGCCCCCCGGGGGGGGGCACGGGGAAGGTGCCACGGGGGTCTGGGGAAGGAGGTTGGGCAGCGCTGGGGAGCGCAGGGATAAGGAGGAGGTGCCGTGGGTGACAGGGGTGACACTGAGGATGTCAGCGGGGTGAAGGAGCCCGCCCTGCCCTCTGGGCACAGCACCAGCTGCGCCTGCAGACGGGACTGGGGCGTGGGATCACACTCTGTGAGGGAGAACATCCACCCCAGGTGGTGCAGGCAGGGCGGGCAGGGCAGGCAGCACAGGCAGCGCTGGCAGTGCAGACAGCAAGGGCAGGGCTGGAAACATGGGCAGCACAGGCAGCACAGGCAGCGCAGGCAGGGCAGGCAGAGTGGGCAGCCCGCCACGGCTCCCCCTCCCCACCCCATCACACATTGACATTTACAACAACCAGCTCTTATTAAGGTTGATGATGTCTCTGAGGCTCTTGGACAGGCCAACAGCAGAGCCCATCCGTTTAAATTAAACAGGGATATATGGAGGAGGGCTCCAAAGGGGACCATTTGTCCTGCAGACAGGCAGGACGCAGGCTCCGTGTCGCCCACGGTGGTGACAACGTGCTGTGGCTGCTCTGTGTCACACGGGGACCCCAAGCCTGGACTGAGTCACCACTGGGGTCAACCCACGCTCTGCCCAGGAGCTCTCAGGGGGGCAGGACCCCCGTGAGCACCCGGGAGGAGATCTGCATGCCAGGCACACGGAGCAGAGCCAGGGCCCATCCATCTCCCACTCACCTCCGGGCCCTCTGACCATAAATCAGGGGGGCTGAGGAGGGGGGAGCAGCACACTCAAACCACCCAGATGGATTTGCCAAATAAACACATTTGAACGAAACAATTAATGGATTTTTTGTTTGCTTTACAACCCTCAGAGGAAGGTGCAAAGGGAAAAAATTTATAAATGAAGCAAATTAAGTCAGTCCGTGGGCAGGAAGTTAAAGGGAGCTGCTCCATCTCCATCACCCCTGCCCGGGCACCTGAGCCCAGTGTCACCAGTGCCCCCTGCCCGTCCCCACGCTGGGGCAGTGCTGGTACCTGTCTGGGCCATGTAGACACCTGGTTCATCTGCTGACCGTGGCCACTGGGTCTTCACCTTCTGGTTCTCCTCGACCGCATTGCCTGGAAGAGGGAAGTGCTCCAGTGAGAGCGGGCAGGGGACAGGGATGGGGACAGGCCACTCTGGGTCAAGGGACATTGCAGGAGGATACAGGGACGCCTGGCCCCACGCTGAGCACTGCATGGCATCCCTGAGGGCAAGAGATGGTTGAGCACAGCTGAGCACATTCACAGACCCCCCAAACACGTGTCACGGCTCCCCCAGAAGTGTCACCCCCAGTCGCAGGGGCTGCAGCTGGAGCACAGCCCCGAGTGGCACAGCCCTGGTGCAGCCGGGGTGCCCGTACCCCCGTCGTGCCAGGCAGAGGTGCTCTCCCATCCCCACTTATCAGCCTGCTGCAGTGAGGTGGCACAAATTTATGGCTCGGCTCACCAAAAATAACAAGTGATCCATCAAGAGCACTTGGCGTGAAATTAACTGGCATGTGGAGGGCTCGGCGGGGGACGCGGCTGCAGGCACAGGGGGACGCCTTCCCTGGCCTCCCCCACAGCCCCCAGGCCACCTCCTGTCCTCCAGCGGGGTCCCTTGTCCCCAAACCCGGGTGCAGGATGCTGGTGAGTTCCCACAGATCCACTCCAGGCACGGCACAGCCGCTGCTGCCAGAGGATGTGCTGTGGGAGACAGCAGGGGATCCCCTGGGCACCATTGATGATACGACCCCCAAAAACACCATAGGGACCCCGCTGCTGTGACAGGCAGGAGAGCAGCCAGGTGTGGCACAAGCGCCTCACTGAGCTGCCTGGCACTGCCAGCCAAGCGTGGCAATGTCCCCAAGGGACAGAGAGGAGGTGACATGGGGACACCTGGCACTGGCAGGGAGCCCCCAGCCATACTCCAGGCACAAGGGTGGAACACGGGACGGGGACAGCCCAGCCCCAGCAGGGAGCACAGGCTACCGTGACACTGATTGTGCTGTAAAAACAGACCCAAATTTTCCGAGTTTTGCCTTAACCAATGGTAGCCCTGCGAGGCTCCTCACCGGCCCCACCAGTGCAGCCAGGGACACTCGGATCCTCCCCGGGGACATCCTACCCTGTGGCTTGGGGTTCCCAACAGCATGAGAGACACAGGGGGACCTGGAGAGGCTGAGGGGATGCCAGGGGGGTCTGTCTGGCCACCGGGCCAAGCTCCCCATGGGGCCGCCCACCCCCAGGAGCGACGTGGCAGAATTACACCCGGCACGGCGAGCGCCCCGGGAGAACCATAAATCCTGAGGATATACGAGAGCGTTCTCCCTGGCTGTGTTCAACAGAGACACCAAATTCAATTTCCTTCAGAGAGCACTAAATCCTCGGCTGTCACTGCGGGGAGGCTGCGGCTCACCCCAGCACTCCTGTCCCGGGGGTGCCCAGCACCCCACACCAGGGCACAGCCACCGGGTGCAAGGGCAGGGCTGTCCTTTTGGGGACCTCGGGATGAATCCCAAGGCCAGTTGTGTCCTTGTCCCAGCATCACCTCCCTGGGGGTTGGTTTCTCAAGGGTGATGGGTTAGGAACCCAAAACTTGGAACTGCTTGGCCTCAATGTGGCAGGTCCTGGGGGAGCGTACCCCGTCCAAAGACCCCCAGAGAGAGGGGTCACCCTTTGGGGTTCTCTGGTGGGGGTACGCCCTCCCAGGGCCTGCAGCCCCAGAGTCGAGTGGTTGAGCACACCCAAAGTTCCATCCCCATTCCCACACCCATCCATCCGTTCCTTCCACCCACGTGCCTCAAACCACATCCCCCCCCCGCCTACGGGAGAGCCGCTCCCCGCCGGGGATGACGCGGGGGCCGGGGACCCCGGGGTCAGCGCCGTGGGGAGGGTCTGGGCGGGCGCCAGCCCCCCACGTCGCTGCGGCGGAGCAGAACCGGTGAGATCAGCGCTGGGCGCCCGCCAAGCCTCGGCTCACAGGCGCCATTCAGCCCCCCGGCCCTGCCTGCCACCGGCCCCCTGAAAGGCGGCCATTCTCCCCCTGGGGGGACGCCAGGTGGGACCCCCTCGCCGCATGAAGGGCGCTCTGTGCTCCGGCCCCGCGGTGACGCCGGCGGGCGCCCGGGGGGGACGGTGGCAGCGGCCGTGGCACGAGGGGCGGCCGAGGCAGAGCGTCACCCCTGCGGCTCCGGCACCGCAATAACATCGAACCTCCGGGCGCTCCAGCCCTTAATTGAATGTCAAACGTAATTTGGAGGAGGAGTGGGAGTTTGCGCTGCTGCTGTCGCAGCTGGACAGGCGGCACGTGGTGCCCTGCCAGGTCTGCAGGGACCCCCCCCTCTCCGGCGTGACCAACCCCACCAAACCACCCGTGGGGATGTGCCAAACCCCCTGGAGAAGCATCCAGCTGCTCCATCCCATCCTGCATCCCGCTGCTCCCCAGGCAGTCCCTGGTTAAAGGGATAGCCTGACCTTGGGGATGGCACCCAAACCTGGCACTGAGCTCTTAGTCATCCATGTGGAGTTGCGTTTAAAGGGGGGGAAAAAAGGGAAAAACCTATAAAATGAAATCAGCTCAAGCAGCTCCCCTCGGGATGAGGCGATTTAGAGCCCCGCAGCTGTAACGGACCGGGGATTTAGTCGGGGGATCTGCCCGTAATGACATTTAGCTCCTGAAATAAATGCTAAAGCCCAATGAAATTATATGTACACCCACAGCCCAGCCCCGCCACCTAATCTGCCAGATAAAGACCCCACGCAGCCCAGTCGGGGATTGCTCCTGCCCGCGCATCACCCCGGGGCAGCTGTGTGGAAACATCTGGCCAGATGTGTCCCAAAATCCCCGCATCACCCCCCCGGGCTTGGCACCGCGGGCACAGGGAGCACCCAGGAGAGGCAGCCCCTGCCCCGGGCAGCCCGATCCCGGTGCCCAGCACATGGGTGAGCACAGCTGCTTTATCCTCACCCGACGTTCCCACAATCCCGTAACGAGCAAATGGCCTCATTCCGCCTGGTTAATAGCCCGGCCGCCGTGCCGTGACATCCTGCCTGGAATAACAAGCGCCCGGGCTGCAGCAGTCAAGGGTAATTTGCCACGGGGAAAGGGTCATTTTACCTGCAAATTGTTTTCCACGTCTCCACCAAAGCAGAGCGGGTCAGCTCCCGCTCCGGGCTCGCAGCCCTGTGCCGGGAAGGCGCCAAGCGAGGCCACGGAGCCCCACGGGCTGTGCCAGAGCAGCCGTGGCATCACCCGGGGTCACCATGGTGGCAAGTGGCACCAGGGGTCAGTGGGACCATGGCAAGGGCAAAACAAGCTGCAGCTCTGCCGAGCCTGGGCATTGCTCTGGAGAGGTGCCCACGGAGCTGGGGTGGGGCACAGGATTCATCCATTGCACGGTGCCCATGCTCCCTGCACGTGCCCAACTCTAACCCTCCAGCCTTGGATAGTGTTGACAGGCAGGATTCATCCATTGCACAGCTTCCCTGCTCCATGCAATGGCTTCCCTGCTCCATGCATGTAGGGTTCCCTCCATCCCCATGGAGGGTTAACGAGCAGGATTCATCCATTGCAGCTCCATGCCCAGCACCCAGTCTGCACCATCCAGCCCCAGGAGTGTGCTCAGGCAGCATTCACCCGCTGCACGGATTCCCTGCTCCCCATGCAGTGCCCCACTGACACCTTCCAGCCCCAGAGAGTGTGTACAAGTAGGATTCATCCATTGCACAAATTCCCTGTGCCCGACTGACACCCACCCTGGAGCGTGTGTGGGTAGGATTCACCCACTGCATGGCTTCCCTGCTCCGTGCCCCGTGCCTGACTGGCACTCTCTTGCCCCAGGGAACATGCATGGGCAGAATTCCCCCATTCCACAACCCTGCTCCGTGCACAGCAGCCCTGGAGCAGGGGCTTCACCCCCGGGGCTCCTCCTCGCCCCCCACTCACCGTGTGGCACCTCGGGCAGGTCGACGTCGTTGGCATTCGCAGAATGCAGGTCGGTGGGGCAGCAGTCGGGGTCGGCGGGCGGCGGGGTGGGCGCTCTGGCCGCGTGCCGGGTGCCGTTGCGCCGCGGCGCCGGCGGGCTCTCGGCCTGGCAGCTGCAGCCGGCGTGGGTGAAGCCACAGCGGCGGGCGCCGGGCGCCTGCAGGCACTCCTCGAGCCAGCGGCACAGCACGCTGCAGGTGAACTGGCTGGAGTTGTTGTTGTTGATGAGCAGCACCTCCACGAAGCGGAATTCCAGGGCCTGGGGGGCCAGCAGGCGAGGGGCCGCCTCGGGCTCGGCCGCCAGGCACAGCTGCACAAAGTTCTTGTCGAAGTGGAGGAAGGTGAAGGGCCCCGCGTCCTCGCACAGCTCCAGCTCGGCGTCCTCCTCCTCCTCCTCCTCCTCCTCCTCCTCGGGCCGCTGGCGGGAGGGCGGGGGGCTGGCGGCTTCGCCCCGGGGGTCGCACGTGTAGTTGGCCAGGTAGTGGTCGAGTGGCAGCACCATGGGAGAGAAGTGGGTGCAGACCTGCTCCTCCCGGTTGAAGCGGAGGTAGAGCGAGTACTTGGTGGGGTCGGGGTTCTCCAGGGTCCAGGAGCAGCCGGAGGAGATGGTGGGGAAGAGGTCCTTGAGGGAGAAGGAGCCGTAGAGGACGCCGGAGGCCAGAGCGGAGCAGGCGCTGGGAGCCGGGTCGAAGCCCCGCGTGAGCCACAGGAGAGACGATATCACAGCCAGTAAGAGGGGACCAGCAGCGGTCATCCTATGGCATTTGCCCTGAGGGGAGACAGACAGACAGACAGAGGCTTAGCAAGAGGCATGGCTGCTGTGGGCTCCCTGCTGTGCCGGGGAGTGGGGAGCTGGTCTGGGGGGTCAGCACCCTACACCAAACCCAGCCACTGTGGGGTGTGGGAGCAGCATCCCAGCTACTCCATGGCCCCAGCTGGTCCACGGCCCCAGCTGCGACCTTACAGGCCAGGGACAGCCATGGGAGACCCTTGATCCATCTCCCAGGCTGTGCCAAGGAGTCCCTGGGCTGGGGACTGTGCAGCATGGGCTGGAGACTTCACCCCAAATCCACCAGAGCAGAGACCCAGCTCCCACCCCCACAGACCCCCTGCCCTAGGCTTGCCCACCAGAGCCTGCCAAGCACAACCTGGGCAAGGAGCCACCAAACAGCTTCTGCACAGACAGTGCTATAAAAGCCCTTGGAGCTATTTCTGGAGCCCCGGAGCACCACGGGGACAGGGGGCAGCTCGGGGCGATGTGCTGGGGGTGCACAGGCACCCCAACAGTGCGGTGTCCCCCCACCTACCCCGAGAGCCGGGCACAGGGTGAGCCATCCCTGCACGAGCACGTATTTCTTGGACACCACGCCGGGTGTGCAGAGCATCGCCGGGAATAGCTTTTTAATACCTCATTAATAAAATAATGCACGCGGTGGCCTTATTAAGTGAGACCGGAGCACGGCTCTTCAGAGGCCGAGGCTGCCGCGCGCGTGTCGGCACCGCTCAGCCAGGGCAGCCTGTGCCTGGGGCAGCAGGGGCACGGGGCCAGCCCTGGGGACAGCAGGGGACATTCAGGAGGTGGGCACAGGCACGGATGTCACTGCAGAGGTTGATTCCAAAACCACCACCCAAATCCCCGCTCCCCTCCGCCCAGCCATGTGTTGGGGATGCCGAGCGCTTGGCACGGCACGGGGATGCCCTGATCCATCCTCAACCAGCATCTCCCGCTCCTAAATCACCCCTGGCCGAGGCCGTGGTACCAGGGCATCCCCCAGCTCATCGGGGAGACGGAGCCCTGGCTGAGCCTGCGCTGGAGCCACGATGGGCACATCAGAGAGCTAAAAATATCCCAGCTCTCATGCAACAGGCTGGCACTGGCTCCTGCCGCCCCGGCAGCGCGGGGGCTCCGTGCCGGCATCCGGCCCCTGCCAGCACCGCGTGGGCATGGGGAGAGAGGGGTTGGGAACGGGGCCAGGGGGAGCAGCCCAGGCTGGAGGCACCCCAGTGCAAGCAGGGAGATCTGGGGCCAAAGAAAACCCTGTCTTCCCGTGGTCACTTCCACCCCCTGAGAGACCCCGGGGAATTCAACAGGAGACTCAACAGCAATGAACTCCAACGGCAGCAGCAGCGGGGAGCCGAGGGGCAGCTGGAGGGGGGAGCCCCATGGGCACTCCCCAGTGATGCTCCCCAAGCAGCCACCAAGTGCCCCAAAGAGTCCCAGCCCTCCACTGCTCTGGGAGAGCTGGGGATGGGGGAGGAGGGGGAGGAGGAGGAAGAGGAAAAGGAGGAGGAGGAGGTCAGGCAGGGACACGCTGCTGCTCTGCAGCGAGTTCCTGGGGCTCCCGCAGCCTGGCAGGGACACAAGATGGAGCTTGCTTCCCTCGCCTTGGAGCAGCGAGCAGGGATGCTCCGGCACCACCATCCATCCATCCATCCATCCATTCATCCATCCCTCCCTCCCGGTCCCCAGCCGGCTGCTGGAAGGCTCGGCGGGGATGAACACAGCCAGGCAGCCCCTGCCTCACCTCCCTGGGCTCCCCACATGAATCCAGGTGCTCTGGGTTACAAGGAGCCTCCTCTCAACCCAAAAAACCTGCCGAGGCTGCAGCTGCCCCAAGGCCAGCACACCAGGTCGAGCTGCTACGGGCAGCCAGGGCTGAAGCAAAGCTGAGAGAGCTCTCTCGGCACCAGCCCCGCTCCCTGCAGCGCTCGAGCTGCTGCTGCTGCTGCAGTGAAAATATTTCACTGAGCTGCACGCTGGGCTGAGGAGATATTTAACATCTGGGGCACCGAGTCACCCGGCGGGAGCTGCTGAGCCGCACGAGGAGGGGTCACTGTCACCCCTACCCGGCACCACGGGGGGGACCACGCACCCTGCAGCATCACTGTCCGGGATGGGCGAGCCCGGCTGAGTGGGCTGGCATCACCCCTCTGCCTCCAAAGCGACCTCGGTCCAATGAGGAATGAACCACCCGGCACCGGTGACCGCATCCTGACACCGTCGGGGGGGTCCCTGGGGGCAGCTGGCAGTGCCCCAGGGACCTGCTGCACCCACAGCCCGGCTGGGGAGCAGACGCTGCTCGCCGGGGACGGCGATGGCTCCCGGAGCACGGCGGGCACAGGCTGGCACGCTCGCCCGCCGCAGGCGCCTGCTCCAGCCCCTTCCATCTGCCTTTGTTCCCGCCCGGGCGCAGGGAAGGGGGTGGGTTTTTAATTAAAGCTTTTAAAGAGCCATCACAGAGCCGGGAAAAGGCCGGGCGGAAGCGACATCCCGGGCTCCACGTCCTCGGAGCAGGGTCCCTCTCCCTCACTGCCATCGCATCCCTCCTGGCTCCGGCAGCGGCAGGATCCAGCCGGGGCTCGGCTCTCCCTCGCCGCGGCACGGCACTGCTCCAGGCCAGCCCTGCTCCTGAGGCACTAACAGGTTGTTTCCCTAAGGATGTTTCGCCTAAACAGGGATTTTGTCCGGGTCGTGGTCCAGCTCCATCCTCCTGGCACAGCTCAAGCCAGTTTCTGACCATTGTGCCACTCCAGCCAGGCAAAGCCAAGAATAAGCCAACCAGCCCCAAAAAGTGATAAATGGGCAGCACTAAACCCCCGGCATTAATAATCTGAGAGACGATTAATGGCAGAGTAAAGGAGATTTGGGGTTTGAGGGACACGGTTTTTAACCCGACTGTTCTCTTAATAGGCTGTAGCAAATACACAATCCATGAAAAAATTACACGATCCATGAGAATTCCTAACATGAGGATGCCCAGGACAAAGACACGAGGGGAAGGAAGGGCAGAGGAGTCCTGGGTGTTTATCCACAGCAGGAACAGCCTCACTCCCTGCCAAAAGGCAACGGCATCTGGGGAGGAGCAGACTGGCTGACAGCACGGCCATGTGGCTCCATCCCATGGGAATACATCCCTGCCTGCCCAGAGGTGACACCAGCAAACACACCACCATAATGAGCTCTTCCCACTGGGAGAACCTCCGACCCTCCAATTTCCAGGACCTTCCCTAGCAGTTCAAAGGCATCCAGGAACTCCAAAGCTGCCATTGCCACCTCCACGCTCAGCCCTCCCGGTGCGGGGACCCCCAGCACCGAGCTGGGGTGTCCTGGGCCCTCCATGGCACCAGCACAGCCCCTCCACCAAGGAATTTGCTCCGTGAGCACCGCTGGGAAGAACTCCACTGCCATCCCAGCCTCCAGCCTCGCCTCCCAAAATCCACGGCTCCCTGCAAGGCGCGTGCCCGCACACGCAGGGAGAGGGGTGTCCGTGCCGCTCCCACCCGCTGCGGCACAACCCCCCCTGGCACCCAGGACCACGCTTGCCCCCCCTCGGTGCCCCCACGTCTCCCGTGTCCCTCTGGCTCCCCGGCGCGCTGCCACGGCCTCTCCTGGAGCCGGCAGGCTGGCAGCGGTGCCGAGCTGTAATTAATGGTGCTGCTTTGCCAATCCCTGGCGCGGCCTCGCGAGCACTGGCACGCACAGGCCTCTTTATTTATTTTACTTAACTGCTGTTGGTAAAACTCCACTCCAAAAGCAAGGCCGAGAGACAGCACAGAGAAATCTCCACCGGGATTGGGGATTACGCTCTGCCAGGAAACGACGTGTGCTGCCTCCCCCTCCACGGCTGTGGGGGTCCCTGGGGGCAAAGCCCCCCCTCTGCTGCAGGGCACCTGCAGGGGCTGCAGCAGCCACGGCTGTTTCTGCTGCTCTCCTTCAGCCTCTTCCAAGTAGTTTCCATGTCACTGGGATGTGGCTCCCTCTTTTCCATCAGCTCCATCTTGCAAAGGGGTGGAGGGCTGGGAGCCCCAGGAGACTCCAAATGGGGGTCCAAGTCACCGTGGTGGCAGCAGGATGTGTGCTCATCCCAGAGGGGGATTTTTTTGTAACCCACCATCTCATCCAGACCCAGCCCTGCTGGGAGCTTCCAAGGTGCCCCGGGGAGGACAAGAGGCCTGGCTCCATCCTGCTCTTGGAGGACATCAAGAAGGAACAGACAGGATGAGAGCAGGGGGGATGCGATGGCCCTCGTAAGCACCGAGGAGCTACAGAGCTTCTGACATTTGGCAACAGAGCTGGGTGGCCCCAAGCCAGCCCCGTCCCCGTCAGAGGACAGGTCCATGGTAGGAAATGAGTTTGCAGGGCCTCAGTCCAAATTCCCATGGAGGAGTGTTGAGGCATCCCAGGACGGCAGCTGGTGGCTCATCCCATGGATCATCCATCCATCCATCCATCCCCCCAAGTATCATCTTCCTCCAGGCAGGGGGTCATCCTGCAGCCCCCACCCAGCCTGGAGAGTGCCCAGCCCGGGACGTGGGGACTTGGCAGTGATGGGAACAGCCCGGGTGAAGGAAGTCCCATCTATTCCTGTGGCTCTGAGCAGGAGGTTGGTGCCAGGGCAGAGCTCTCTGCCGGCCATGAGCCCGCCGGGAAGAGCCCAGCATGCCCGGCCCCACCTCCAGCACGGCAGAGGTGTCACTCTGGGCAGAAGAGCTGCACTGCCAGAGGTCCTTAGAGGTGTTCAGCAAAGCCAGAGAGAGCTGGGAAGAGCTGGCAGCGTGTCCCAGATGGTGCTGGAGCACCTCTACCATGGGGCTGCCAGTCGGAGAGCAAACCGCCCGCTGTGCCGGCTCCGTGTCCATTTTCTCTCCAGCAAAGACCAAATTTGTAGGATCCTGGCTCCTTGCAGACTCCATGGATCAAAGCAGGGTCTTGTGGCAAGGCTTGACAAGCAACTGGGCAGGCCTTGAAGAGGAGCTGCTGCCAGGCTTGGGGCTTCAGCACAGCGGGGCTGGCACTGCCCTACAGCCAACTCCAGCATCTGCTGCCATACATGCCATCCACTAAGGAACCCTGCTGGGAAACGGGGCACTGACCCTCCCTGGTGAGAGTGGTCAGAGTGGTGGTGGCGGTGACAACAGCCACGCCACCCCGCTCCTCCCCACGGATGCCAGCCCACAGAGCCGGGTGCCCCCTCACGAGCCCCCCTCGCTCAGCCACAGCCTTCAAGGCAGGGAGAGGTCACTCCCCAACAACTGCCCCAGCCCACCGGGAGCAATCCCAGTGCCACAGCTCAGCTCCAACCCCGCGCCACCGGCTCCACGTGCGCCCCGGCCACCGGCAGCGCCCGGCCTGAACCCCCGACCGACCGCTCCGCCACAGCCCAGCCGGGCCACCCCGGGGCCACCTCCCCGCATCACCGTCGGCCCCGGCTGCCAGGCGCCAGCCAGCACAGCCAGCAGTGACATGACCTAGAAAAGCAAAGGGTTGTTCACACGCCGCTGCCGCGAGCCCCCGGCGCGGCCGTGCAGCCGCGGTGCGGAAAATCTCCCCGTCCTCAACAAGTGACCCGCGCGGGCACACGCGTGGGCACACGTGGCACCGCTTGTGCCGTGGACCCCAGGGGCTCACAGGCCCCCTGGGGAAGGGATGCAGCTCCCCAGCTCCCCCCCAGACCTGGCTGCCACCTGCATTCCGCACGTGCCCGCGGCGGCACACGCCGGGCGCCCACGTGTGCCCTCCTGCGCGCCCACGGTCCCCAGGTGCCGTGGCACGGAGGCTCCCCGCGGCCCCCCCACGCTGGCACCGAACAAAGCCCCCACGCAGGGGAGAGCTGCAAACCCACCCCCCCCCGCTGCCGGGGCTCCGCCAACGCTCCTGCCCACGCGCCCCGGTACCACCGAATCCCCGGGGCCCTGCCCAGGGGTGACAACGTGGGGTGACCACCCCGCCGAGCGCCCACGCGTGCCAGGCTGGCAGCACACGTGTGCCCACGCCAGGGCTGGAAGAGGTGCCAGCAGGCAGCCCAGCACCCACCCGTGGCCTTGCTGGATGACACACCACAGCACCGCGGTGCCACACGTGTGCCCAGCAACACACATGTGCCCACCGACACGCGTGCAGCCCCTCCACCACGGGGCTGCCGGGGTCCTGGCACTGCTTGTGGGGAGGGACTGGTACCCCGGGGGAGAAACGGGACCCCGCGGGGGGCACAAGCATGCTGGGGGAGGATGGATACCCCGAGGGGAACTGGCAGCCCCGGGGGGAGGATTGGCAGACCGGGGAGGAACCGGCAGCTACCGGGGCGAGGAAGACCGGCAGCCCCGGAGGGGAGACCGGCAGCTCCTCGGGAAGGGGGGACCGGCAACCCCGGGAGAGGGGATACTGGCATCCCCAGGAGGGGGAACCGGCAGCCGCAGGAAGGGGAACCGGCAGCCCCGGGAAGGGGGGTCCGGCAGCCAGCCCCGGGAAGGGGAACCGGCAGCCCCGGGAAGGGAGGTTTCGACAGCCCCGGGAAGGGGGGACCGGCAGCTCCGGGCACGCCGCCGCTCACAGCCAGCCCCGGTGCCGAGCCCTCCGCGCCGCCGCAGCCCCGCGCAACTTCCAGGCAGGGCCGGGGCCGCCCCGGGGATGCCACTGCCCGCCGCGGGCACCGGGCACGGGGCACCCCCGGTACCGCGGCGCGGCTGCAACTCCCGTTCCCGCAGCCCCGCCGCCGGGGCAGGAAAGTTGGCCGGCGTTGGAGCTGGAGCCGGGAGTGCGGGGGGGGGAGAGGGGGGGGAGCACGGCGGAACCGGGGCTCTGCCAACCGGCAGCACCGGCCGCCGCATCCCGCATCCGCGGCGAGCTGCCGCCCCCGCTGCGCCGCGCCGGGAGAGAGGTGCGGGGGGGGGGTGCACACCGGGAAGAAGGGGGGGTGTCGGTGCACACCGGGGGAGGAGGGAGGGTGTCAGTGCACCGAGGGGCGGGTTGCCGGTGCACCGGCGAAGGAGTGGGTGGGGGGTCACCGGGCGCCCTTACCTGCGCTCCGTTAGCAGCGCGTGTAGCCCCGGCGCGGCGCGGCGAGCAGCGGGCTGGCCATCCCCGAGCGGCCGCGGCGGCAGCAGCCGGTGCCCGGGCGCGCCCGGGGGAGCGCGGTGGCGGCGGCGGCGGCGCGCGGGGCCGGGAGCGGGCGCGGGGCCGGGAGCGGG